AAGGGTGCAACAATGAATGAATGGAATCCCAAAATCTCTGTAGATGTCCATTGAAATGAAAAATAAACAACCTAAATTTAAAAAAAAAAAGGAAGTGAAATGGGCATAATACCTACCTTGAAGTACCTACTTGGTAGTTTAGGTTGAATGAATGAACAGAGCACCGAGAACAGTGCCTGGCACCTAGTCAGCTCTGTGTGTGTGTCAGTTAAGTAAAGGAGGACTTGGAGGTCAGCTTGGACATGGCACTGGGGGCTGCAGGCACAGACTACACTCTTCTTTCCAGGCGCCTCCTCTCTGCCTGTTACCTTCACCACCCGGCCCCTGGCCCAGCCCACCCATGTCCCTGTTTGATGCCAGCTTCCTCCTGCCATGTAAGTCTCACTGCGCAGCCTGGTGGGTGACAAATGGGACATCACAGGAGCCTCTGGCACAACCTCTTACAGGCACTGCCCCCCATTTGCTCCTGGCCCTGCTGCCACATCTGTCCCCTGTGCCATGCACCTCTGACACACTGGGCCTGCCCACGGAGGGAGCTCCACTTGCCCCAGGTAAGACATGCTACGGTAGGGGTGAAGGGAGCAGAGAGAACTGGGGGGCTATTGGGTTGGCCATTCAGGAGGCTCCCAAAGATCCCAGGATTCCAGGGTCCCAGGGTCCCAGGCTGCGTCATTGGAGGGAATGCTAGCTTGATGCCGCACTGTCTGGGGCTTGTAATAGCTGCCCTCCCTCTCTTCCCTCTCCTTGTCATTCCTGCACTCACATTCCTATTCATTCCTTTTACTTACCATCTATTTACTCACTTATTCGAAGTCGGAAGGGCTAGTCCTTGGAAAAGGACTTTATGCTTAGAAAGGTGGAGGGTCAGAGAAAGTGAGAAAGACCCTCCACAAAAAGGAGTGACACAGAGGCTGTAAAAATGGGCGTAAGCATTCAGAGATGAGGAAGTGGGCACAGACTAGGGCAGAGTTCAGACTTACTGTTCGTAGGGTCACTTTGAGTCATAGGTGACTTGAAAGCACCTAACAACAACATTTAAATTCTCCCTGAAGGATCCTACTTCAGGCCAGTCCCTGCTCTGGGTACTGAGGATTCAGAGATTAATTCAACAAGGTCCTTTCCCTCAGGATTCTCAGTCTCAAGAGGGGACATTATAGGGGCCACCTACTACTCACAGACTAAAGGGATCCAGCCCCACACCCCTGTGCTGACCTGATGCTCTGTCAGCCTGGGGCCGGTCCAAGGGTGGTGGTGTGGCTGCCGGGGAGAAGCAGATCGCTGGGAGCTGGTGTGAGGTCACCAGGGAGGATCTGGTCTCTCTATAGGTGTTTGGCCCCGAGGCCCCGCCCAGCATGCCCCTGTCTGCACGGCCCCCACCCTGGGCTCCACCATGCAGCTCTGCCTCCACCAAGTGCTCAAGAGAGAGGTGGGCCCAGCCTGGGAGCAGTGGGAGTGGGGCACTGGGGAGCATGAAGACTCACCCCCTACCTCCCACCTGGCCCTGGCTCAGGAGTCACAGTGACTGGACTCAGACCCGAGACCTGGCCGAGATGCTGACCAAGGAAGAGGTGGTTCCTTCTGCACCCCCGCTGCCCATGGGAACCCCAAATTCATCACCAGTGCTGAGAGGTAGAGAGGGGACCTCTAGTGTTCTTTGGGCCCATCTCTTAAAAAAGGTGGGTGTTGGAGGTGATTTCTAACATCCTTTATAGTTCCCAAACTCAGAATTATTTTACTAGGGCTGCCTGTAGGCCCAGATATGTACTGGAGCCTATGGTATCTGTGAGGAGGGATAATTCCTTCTAAAATTCTCAGAGGATGCAGGGACCCAGAGGGGTCTGGGTGGGAAGGGGCCTGAGGGAGGGCAGGTCTTGGGTCTTACCATGCTCTTTAGGTGCGGCCAGGGTCCCGAGCCTCGCCCGGAGACTGGAGGCCCTCAGAGACCAGATCGGTAGCTCCCTGCGACGTGGCCGAAACCAACCACCCCCCTCTGAAGACCCACAGAGTCCGGGCCGAGTCCTCCCTCCCTGCTGAAAGCAGAGTAGGAACCCAGGAGGCCACTGTGTGCCCTGGGATCAGGCTTTGTGGCCCTGGGCTTCAGTGGGACACTTCTACTCCGCTCTGCCTGGGCAGCGGACAGTTCCCAATGACCAGGGCTGGTGGGACTGTCTGGTGGAGCAAAGGGAGGATGTTGCCCCAGACCATGGGAAATGAGCTAGGTTTAGGAGAAACGAGGCAGCAGGTGATGAACTGAATGAATAAAGAGGCACGAGTTCCAAACCTGGTTGGTGTCTTCTGGGGATTTGCCATGGGGGGCATCCGGGAGAGAAGGGCTTTGGGGAGCAGGAAGTCTGAGGAGGAAGCAAGGGCTTTTAGCAAAGGGGATGTCCCCTTCTGTCCTAGAGCATCCCAGATGCTCATGACTTACGTGCATTTTAGTTTAAATTTAGCAACTGTGGGACCCTGGACAGGCCTGTGAGGGTCCAGTGGTGCATATCTCCATGAAGGAGGTGTGAGCGAAACCAGTTTAGTGTTGGTTGGGACTCGGGCTGTATGGAGACACTTACACCAGCACTGGCTGCATGGACCATGAGGTGTCCAGATGCCTGGACCTCTTCTGAGACACTGGGCAAACCTTGTGCCCTCCCTTGGCCTCTTTCTAGTTTTCACTTAATTAAATGGGGAACATAGTTTCCTGCCCTGTTGGACTCTAGTGAGAGCCATGCATGTAAGAACTTTATGGATCTTGGCATAAATACAAGGAGTCCTGGTGAAGCAGCCAAAGGTGGTGGTTTAAACCCATCTGCCGCCTTGAAGGAGAAAGATGTGACAATCAGCTTCTGTAAAGATTTCGAGCCCACTGAGCAGTTCCACTCTGTCCTGTAGGATCATTATGAACCAAGAGCAGCTCAGCGGTGGTAGGTTTCAGTGTAACTTTGGTGTAAGTAGAATTCACTGGGTCTACATTACAGAGAAGTCCAGACATGACATGAGAAATGGAGAACAGGAATGGAAGGACCTCATAGATCGAGTCTGAGGTTAGCTCAGTTCTTCCATTCTGGAATTAGGGAAACTGACACCCACATTTGTCCATTCATTCAGCCAGCACCGCAGGCAACAACTGTATGCCAGGCTGCAAGACGCCAAAGGAGCAACAAAGACTAAGGCAACTTTGCCCAGGGAGCTCACAGTCCATTGTGGGGACAGACAGACCTTTAAAATCTCTCCCTTGTGCAGTGATGGGGAACTGTAGTAACTGGAAGCCCAGATTAGGGTTACATAAGAGATTGTGGAGGGGGTCAGGAAAGGTTTGTCAGATGAAGCTATGATTGAGGTACTTAATCATTTCATACTCCGGAAGTGATTGGTATTGACCCGGGGGACAAGGAAGAATCTGAGGAGGGGGACATATCTGGAGTTAAATCCAGGGAGTGAGAGGTGTCAGTGCGTGAGTTGGGAAAGTCCTAGGCTCAAGAGGTTGCTATGGGTGAGAATTAATAGGGCCCAGAAGCCCACATAGGAGTTAGAGCTTGTCCCAAGAATTAAGGGGGACCATGGAAGAAGGGCCTTGAGGTGTCATTTGTTTATGTATCACATTAGCTGTTTGTAAGAGATGAATTGACCGGAGTGGGCGAATTGGATGCAGGGTACCTATGAAAAGACCACCACAAAGAGTAAATGAGACTCTCAACCAGCCAGGCTGCAGCTTGGGCATCCCTTTGGACCTGGGCTCACCCAAGACCCTGGGTTCGAGCCAGGTCCCAAGCAACCCAGCCTCACTTCTAGGCTGAGATGTAACAGCCTGAGAGCACCCAGAGACCTCTGGGACCTGAGAGGGAGGTTGTGCTCTGATCTGACAGCTGCTCAGAACTGCCCACAGGCCTGGCCTGTTTGCTGCGCCCTACCTCCTGCCCCAGTCTACGCCCAAACAAGACCCAGAATTCTACTCATGCTTCTGGAAAGTGGCCTGGAATGTTCTGTAATTTTGCCGTGTGTGCTCTGTGACTGGGCCACCTCCACTGCAGCTCTGATTCCTGGCTTCCCCAAGCCGAAGCCGGTAGGGTCAGCCAAGCTTGGAACCCCAGCACAGGGCACTGAAAATCAACCTCACTGCTGAGCACCAAAGGGCAACTAACTGGAAGGCCAGTGTCCATTGAGCAAAGTCCAAGCACAGAGAGCAACAATCGGACACGTGAGGTAGCCAGACCAGCAGAGTGGGCTGTGGTGAAGGCCAGCCACTCAAGTTCAAAGCCAGCTGCACCATTTATACCTGTGTGATCCTGGACAGGTGATGTAACAGCACAGTCTGAGCCACTTTACCTGCAGGTGGGCAAGAGATAATAGTGGAACCATACTGGTATTAAATCTACTGATACATGGAAAACTGTAGCACAAGGAAGTTCTGGAGGCCTGGTGTCAAGAAGCACGGCAATCCTGAAGGTACAGAGTTCTAATCCACCAGCTGCTCTGCAGGAAATGGAAGGGCAGCTTCATCCCTTGTGATTAACTGCCATCAAAAACCCGCTGGAAGGTCAGCTGTGGGTTGGCTCTGCCTTAGTGGTACACGACACCACCACCACAGTGGGTATTAAATCCACTGATAAGGGGAAAACTGTAGTTTAAGGCTTAATCTATACTATGCTACCCGCATTACCCCAGTTACTGAGTCAATCCATCTCATGCAGGGTCTTCCTCCCACCCTTCCAAGCATGATCTTCTCCAAGGACTGGTCCCTTCTAGCAACATGCCCAAAGAATGTAAGACGGAGTTTCAGTATCTTTGCCTCCAAAGAGCAACTTGGTTTCACATGGATGGGGGTAAGTGTGTCGGAGACAATGAGGTTAGCTTGAGACAGCATGGGGCTTGTTCATGGGAAGGAAGCAACTTAAATACCTGTAACAACATCAAGATACTAGACTATATAGCCACAACGACTATTGGCTAGCACAATAATAAAACTGACAATATAGGTATAAACCAAATAAATAACCTTAACAAATAAGCAATTACTTATAGAGAATCCACTTTGGGCCAGTATTCACCAAAACATGAAAATATCCTCATGAAACACAGTAAAGCAAGAAAATTACACAATATGGGATCATCTATCCATGACAGATGCTGTGGAGCAAAATACAGAAAGGGAAGTTATCTCTGCTGGGATTGGGGCACAGTTATGTAGTTACTAGGTAGTCAGGAGAGACCTAATGGAGGTGATGCAAAAAACCTGAGGAAGTGAGAAAGATGAGTCCAATTAATGTCTTAAAGTCACATTTTTCTGATGTTGGTAATTAGATGTTCTGTCAGCTCAGGTGATGGCAGGTATAAACCCTGGGCTCCTTCCGGCTCCCCAGCACCCCAATCTATTTCTCAGAATCATGGCCCTGCTTCCTGGGAGGTCTTCAGCCTCAGGCAGGAGAGGGTCTTGGCACTGAGCGTGAGAGCTGGCTTTTGCTGCCCTGGGAGGGTGGACATGGACCACCCAGAGGACCCTGGCCATTGTGTTTGGACAATTCTTTCTACTGCTGGAGCCAGCTGAGATTTTCCAGTTTCTTTACTTCCAGCTCAGGCTCCAACTCAACACAACCCCCTCTTCTTTTCAGCGCTCTTGGAGATGGGCCCTTAACTGCCCCCACTACATAGACCATGTGTCCATCTCTTAATCAGCAGCCGCATTCTGAGGCTGCCAGTTGTCTTGAGAAATCCCCCAGGATTCCAATGAAACCAGGTCTCTTAGAAGCTAATAGCTTTTACTAAGAATCAGCAAGGGCAGTTCTAGAATCCCCAAAGTTACGGCTATTCCCTAGAATGCTGGAATTTGGAGAAGCCCTCGGTGCTTCCCAGGCATGTTGGTTTTCCAGAACTGTCAAGTGCAGATGAGGCTCTTTGGTGCCTTGGAATGCAAGCATTGAGATCATCAGCTTTCAGAAATCCTGAAGTGTTGTTGTGTATGAATTTCTGAGAATTCAAGTCTTTGGAGGTTGTCGTCATAGTTTTGAAACATTGTAAAAACATTGGGAGGGATTCTTTGGAATCTTGGATGAGGCTGGTGGCCCTTCCTCAGAACTCAGAAAGCCCTTTTTGAGTTTCTAAAACCCTGAGAGATCCAGAGAGTGGCCACCGAGGTGTCTGGAGCTCTGGTTGAGTTCTTCAGATCTTTGGGACTCAAACTCTTAAATAATGGAGAACGGGTCACACGGCTGGAGGGCTTGCTTTGGACAATGTGAGCCTCAGGATGAACCTATCTGTGGATATTTGTATTTAAAATACTGTCAGATCTCATCTGGGGGCCAGAGCCTGAGCGTTAGCATCACCCTGAGAGTTCGTGAAGACCTTCCTGTGGAGCACACCACGCCTCCTCCTTTCTCTGCTTCAGCCTGTCCAGCCTGCTCACTTAGCATCTTGCTTCCTTTCGCCTAATGGCTTATTTTCCCAAATTCTTTCTTATTCAACTTCAACTTGGATTCAAGTCTTTTGAGGATTATTTAGCATCCTCTTACATGACTTTCCCCACTCCTGTCTTTGTACCGAGCTTCTAAAGATTCTAATTTGATTTATAGCAAACAAATATGATAGGCTGGTGCTGGCCCTGCTATGAATCAAGGAGCAGGAGATTCTACAACTTACACAAAGGTTAATTCTTTGGTTAGAGACCAAGATAAGAATCAGGATACCTGGGTTCTAAGCCTGGTTCTATCGGCTGCCTGCTGTGTAGCAAAAAAGCCCCTCGGAATTGCTGAGATCGACACGTGTGGACCCTCAAAGAAGACCTTTGGAAAAGGGGCAGAGGGTCTTCTCTCAACGTGAGGCTCTGGTCAGATGGCCTCTCCCTCACTAACCACAAGCTTACTAAGTGCCTCCTTGAAGACCAAGACTGTTCTGTTGTTCAATGTCCTGATCTTGAGCCACTGCTGTTTTTAAAGAGCTCCGAGCCAAGTAGGGGAAAGGCCAAATAAAGCAACAATTATATTGCAATAAAATAAATAACAGCTAGTGAATTTTTGTGTGTGCCAGACACTGTTCCCTGTATTTCT